TTGGACAAGCAAGGAAGCCCCAAACACTGTAAAACGATAAGGAGTAAAAAAAATAAGGTTGAAGATTGTAAAGGATTCAGTACGTTTTTTTACACAACCCCACTTTGGATTTCAGGATACGTGTCAAGGCAGTCATTTCTTCAGACGGGGAAATGTCGTGGCCGGGTCGATGGAATGAAGGGCAGCTTACTTGTGGTCCTTCGCATCCCTGGACTTTCCTTGCCCAGGAGAAACTGCTTCTGTGGGCAAGGTGCTTAATGAATCTAGATCTCTCCCTTGAGATCTTTGCAAAATCTTTGCTTCCAGTTTGATGCCATAAAGGCAGGAATACGCTTGGCTCCTCTTTCGGATTAATTTCAGTTCGACTTCTTTGATTGCAATGCGGTGGTCATGCAATATGACCAGAAGAGAACGAAGCAACATCGCCTGTTACTTGAAGTATAGGAATGCCCTTATCATTAAGAGTATGCAGCAGCATCAGGCTGTAAGTAGTAATGAAAACCTGGAAAGGTGGCCGGGATACATCTGCACAGCAATGCCATCACAGCAGATTCGGCGGTGGGAAAAGCCTCGCCAGAAGATGCAGCAGCTCCCGGCTCGCATGTAGTTAAGCTTTTGTTATAGAACACCTTATCACTTGGCTAATCTGTACAAGCTTTGGTCAGATGTTCCTCCGTATCCAACAGATATTCTTGGACCTTGGGCCGGCAACCATTCTGCGTCAATCAAGACTAGGCTCAGACCATGGCACCGTGCGGCACTGTGTTGGGACTTGCACGAATAAGGAGGAGGTTCACCACCATACACTGGCCCTACGAACAAACACCCTACCCTCCACCACCCGACCGCCCTGTTGTCTCCAAGCAAGATTTAGGGTTCAAGTCATGTTGTTGATTATAGCCGTCTTGTCATGCTTACCTACGTTGCGCAGCGCATGCCGAGCACACGCTGTCCGCACAAGCTTTCTGGCGGCCACGCACGCACGTGGAGATTTTCGCATCGGAATGTAAAGCATGTCAGTTCTCACAAAAGACTCAAAAGAGTTGCATCAGCGCTGCTGCTGCTGCTGCTGCTGCTGCTGCTGCTGCTGGTGTCGGTGCTGGTTCTTGGTGCGAGTGCTGGTGCTGGTCCTGGTGCTGGCGATAGTGGCGGCGGCAGTGGTGGTGTTGGTGGTGGTTGTGGTTTTGGTGGTGTTGGTGGTGTTGGTGGTGTTGGTGGTGGTGGCTGGTGGTGGCGGGTGGTGGCTGGCGACATTGGTGTGCGGAGCCCCAACACCCTAAACATTGCAGTTGCGCCGTGCAAGTTGTTGGTCTGCCGTAAAAACACGCCACAGATGAAACGTCAGCGGCAAGAGTGGTGAGGTGGAAGACATCAGGGAGTGGCGGTGTGAGGAGGAGCGGGTTGTTGGTGGAGGATTTGGTGGTGGTGGTGCTGGTGAAGGATTTGTTGGTGGTGGTGGTGGTGGTGGTGGTGGCGGCGGCGGCGGCGGCGGCGGTGGTGCTGCTGCTGCTGCTGCTGTTGCTGCTGTGGGTGGGGGTGCGGGTGCGGGTGGTGGCGGCGGCGGCGGCGCTGGCTGCGGCAGGATCTTAAACACCACAACTGCATAGCCTCTGAGGCCTTTAAGCCGTACATCAGCCTGAGCCCCCAACCCCAAACCCCAATCCCTAGACCCGACAGTCCTGAAGCCTGACCAAAACAAAGTCGCAAGAGGTCACCTAGTGATGTGTGAATGTTGGGTTTCAGTCACAAGTGAAGCACAAGGCATCCCATGCGGCTACCTCACATTACTTCCACATGTACAGTGAGATTAGAATCTTGGTTCAGTTGCAGAGGTAGTTTTAGCAAGAATGTAAGTTTACTAGGTGCAAGAACCAAAACACACTGCTCGAGTGAGTTTTTGGTAGTCGCTTGCGATGTGTTTGGCCATGCTGGTGCAACCCACCGCAAGAGGAGGAATAAATGCCAAACACTGTGCGAGGCAGTCTTGGTACACCTTGGCGGCGACAATGCCATAGCAAAACCTTCAGCTGTTGGAACGTTGGCTTCACCAGAAACTAGAGCTGCCCAGCTGCTGAGTATTCAGGAGGCAACACCCAACCTAGGGCCTTCATCGTGTAGAGGTGTCAAACAGGCTTCACTGACAAATCCGCATTAAGAAATCTGGCAGCATGCTTCTTGGTCAAACGTCAAACTCAGAACAGGACCGGATACAGAACTTTTCAGGGTCTGCAGTTTCTAAAGAGCTGGAAATTAGAAAGTGACTCTTGGTATTCGTTCGTGGAGCCTAGCGCTTACAGGCTGTGATTTTGTTTGGAGTTCTTTCCGAGAAGCTTGTAAGGCTTTGTTTGGGCACTTCGAGAATTCTGCAGGCAAGCCCTCAACACCAAAGCAAAGCACAAGTCCAAAACAGAATTCTTTCTCACCTATTTGGCCAGAGCTGAGAGCTTTGATTCACTAGTGACAGGGTCAGTGGCTTGTTAAGGATGCGCTAAGCTCATCTTTTCCAACTAGCCTGAGACCGGCGTTCAGCACCTCCAAAAGTGAGTCGTTGAGACCAGAATCTTCGCAAATCATCATCTTCGTGAATATAGACCTGAACCTGGGCTCGACTGGATCATTTCTTTGATGGCTTGACTCTAAGTAAGTCCAAGTCAAGCATGATAAGGTGAATCAAGAAATTGAAGGACTGCATCTAATAGCTTGTTTTTGGGGTTCGCATGCCATGAAGCCCAAGCAGTTTGGAACACGTGGATTGATTTTCAGCAGAACATGTTTTGTTTTGAAGACGCTTCCATTCAAGGAGCAAGGTTTCGCAGCATGTGCAGTTGGGCAAGGTGAATAACTGCTCTGTTAGTTGTCTGTTAACACAAGATCTGCAGAAGTGGGATCGTGCAGATGCTATCGTCTTCGATGCCTTCTACATGTCCCCAGTTGAGGAAAGGTTGCTTGACAAAAGCAAGAAGCGAATCAGTCAGAAGTGGCTCTTTAACTTTGATTTTGAGCCTCCTATATACGATGGGCGGCCGCTGTTAAAGCGTGTGGTCCAGACACTTGATCCTCTCATTGATTGGACTTTCACATTCAATCCGCGCGGCGACTTCCACAAACCTCACTGGGGATTAGCTTCGCACGCGGAAGATGCCACCGTGTTTGCGACTAACTGGGCAGAAAACAAGAACCGCATTCTGTTGTGGTTCTCAAGCACCAGATGCGAGTCAAAGTTCAAGCGTAACGAGATTTTCAAGAAGTTGTCTTCGTACCTTCCAGATGGCAGCGTCGACCTCTTTGGTGAATGCGGGAAACGCGATCCCTGTGGCGGTAGAGGGTCTATCACGAATCCAAAGACTCCCAAAGATTGCATACGAAGACTGGCCAGGTCTTACAAGTTCTACGCTGCATTTGAGAATTCCCGGTGTCGTGGGTACACCACCGAGAAGCTAAGAACTGGGCTTCTCCATGGCATGGTGCCCATAGCCTATGGAGGTATGGACAGATCCGATTATGAACTAATTGTGCCCGCAGATTCTTTCATCCACGTGGATGACTTCACTTCCCTCGAAAACCTGGCAAAGTTCATACTGGAGCTGGACAAGGACGAAGCTCTCAAGTGAGTGCTTCAGCCGGTGTCTTTCAAACTTTTGGTTTGGAGTTCAAGGCTTGTTTTTTGTGCAGCGCGGTTTGTTTTACTAGCATTCCTTGAGGCCTTACCTATACCCCTGCAAGTCGGGGACCCTGGCAAATCTTTTGTCAAGAAGCTTGAATTCCAATTTTCCACCTTTCCCCATGCGAAAGGATGATGCAAAGTACAATGCATACTTTGCTTGGAGAGCAAGGCTTCATGTGGAAGACCGTCTGGTCACGGCTTCGCGCAAGTGCCTGGTTGTGGTTTTGGCATTTTCATTTTGTGGAAGTCTCGTGGTGGTTGTTATTGGCTGCGGGGTTTGGGAGTAGGTTTCTGGTATAAGTAAGGATCAAAAGAAAATGAATAATCAACAACAATTCAGCAATGATCAGAAAGAGATTTACGGGGCCATGAAATGATAAGCGGAGTTCCCAATGAAGTGTTGAAAGTCGTGGAAGTTGTAGCGGTCTAAAGCTCGCCGCAAAGTTTAGACTTCGCTTGAAAACGTAGATGGATCGTGATTTTCTGGTTTTCGCATTTTGGATCCAAGTCGTGCTCGTGCATGAAGCGTTCTCGATTTCATATCGTCACGTGCAGTGTCCTTGTATTTTGGCTTGAAAGCGTGCCCTCGCGTGGAGCATTCTCATATTGCCATGTGAAACTTGCATCGAGTGTCATCACATTTTCGTGGGCTTCCAAGAAAGGGACGGAAGGAAGCAAGGAACGAACGAAAGAAGGAAAGCAGAGAGGAATGAAGGAAGCCAGGAAGGAATGATGAAGGAAGGAAGGAAGGACGGAAAGCAGAAAGGCAGGAAGCACTGAAGGCAGAAAGAAAGCAAAGACAATAGGAATGAAGGAATTAAGGAGGGAGGGAGGGAGGGAGGGAGGGAGGGAGGGAATGATGCAAGTTCAGGATGCTGCGCCAGTGCTGTGCACAGTGCGGTGGCAAATTGGCAAATCCTTCGCCCATGTTTTGCAAATGGGCACGGGGCCACCAGCCTCTGTTTCAAAGCAAGGACAATAGCACGCACAAATCCTAGCACGACTTCACAAGAACCCATTGACGTCCATGTCGCGTGCAGATTGGGGACCTATGCCCGCCCCAATTCCCCAGCAATTTAGCATATATGTTTAGTCAGCAAGGCAAACCTATCAAAATTCAGCAGGAACCTTTACGTTGTGATTTTCGTTCATGTTTTGTAAAAGGTGGGAGTGGCTTCGTCCCAAACCTCTCCATTTTGAAAACAAGCGCACTGCATGTCATATTACTTGTTGGATTCTTTTTGCCTTTGACCATAATTTATTCATCTGTGTCAATGTTGCATGTTTGTGTTACTGTTGTTACCATTCCTGCCGTCACTACTCCTTTTTCAATTATTACTTGACACGTACAAGTACGTATGGCCAGGGAAGGTTTGCCTGCGCCCCAGGCCTTGAGAGGAGGTAGAAGCTGCTGAAATCGGCCCAGTGCGTTCCATCCTTGCTGCTGCAAGGTCTCATGCAGCAAAACTTGCACCTGGATGTTGAGCGCTTGCCTCGCCAATCCCAATCCCCTCGATTACCAAAACCAAGCCAGGGCTCCCATCTACATTGGTGTTCTCATTGTCCCAAAATTCCTGGCGATTTTTGGTCCTCATGTTGATGCATATTTTTCAAAAAGGGTCACACTCCTCCCACTACTGTTTTCAAGCAATAATGCGTCTGCACATCCTGGCAAGATCCTGGCAAGACCTTTATCAACAAACGCGATGCATGGCAAATGTTGCCAAGCCACTGTTATTAAAGGTAGCAAGAACTATATGTTCTCATCTTCGTCCATGCTTTTCCCTCTCCCAACCCCCCATTGAGCCGCAATCTTTCACAAAGACACATGCTGCCTGGCAAATCCAGCAAACCCCAATAAGACTTTGTTGTGATGCATGTTCCAATTTTCGTCCATGCACCCTTCCAACCCCTTACCGTTCTTAACAAGGCGATGTCTTTTATTTGTCTTTGCCCTCAACTTCCAATCCCCTACCATTTGCTTAGCAACAGGCTGTTGATTTTCGATGAGTCTTCAAGTGTTGTCACATTTTTTAGTAGTTTGCACATGCGGGGTGTGCCCTCCTCAACCCCCCTTGCTTCTTTCAATCAAGACTTCTACTGACATGGCCTCACTCCCCCCGCCTGTTAACACCTCAACATAACTCCATATCACCTAGGCTATGCACCCCCATACACTCCGTTTCTTCTTACGAGCGGCATAACCTCAAACATGATTCTGCATGACTTCTGATGAGTCTTCAATGGCAAAACTCTACGAAAAACAGGGGGGCGGGTTGAGGCAAGACAATCCAGAGGGGTTGAGGCAAAAGATTTTCCTGTATTCCAATGCTCTGAAACTATGAACTGAAGAAGGCGGGTCTGACCATTTTTCGCACTGGCGTGTAAAGCATCCTTGCCGTCGATAAGTGCTCGAAATCGTATTCTCGTGTGGAGCATCTTCACATTTTGGCTCGGAATCGCCTTGTCGCGTGGAGCGGCTAGGCACTCCAACTGGAGAGCGGCACTCTCGCATGGAGCGTCCTCACACTGAGGCGGAACTTCGAGCTGTCGCGCATTATGGGCTGCCATCAAGCTCAAATTGTGAAGTGTCGCCACGTCATTTTATTCGTTCCAGGAGCTGATAGTGGTGGTCGACACCTTTAAGAAAAGATGCCCGCAGGCTGTCAGGCATGTTTTTCTGTTCTTAGCTTTATTTAGCTTTGTGTTTGGCATCTCTTGATCCGGGGTCTTGCAGCCGGACTTCTGGGCGAGGCCTTTCAGCTGCACTGAAAAAAGCGAGCTTCCCCTGATCCTTCAGCTCGGACTCCTCCTTTTTTTTGAACCTGGTCGTGTCAGCGCAAAGCAGGTCTCGGGTCTGGCATGGGGTTGGTCGCGGGGCACCTCGATTGGAGGATTTCCTAAAAGTGCATTGTCTTAGATACGTCTTCACAAAGCCACATACTTCGGGTGTGGGCTTCCAGCTCCTCAGCAGCTTCGCAGGAGCAATGCTCCAAGATTCTTCTGAGTTTTGTTTTGCGAAGCTTCAAGCTGCGTTCAATTCGCACATCGTTAGGTACTGTGAGCTTTGCACGGAGCTGCAGAAGCCGCAGGCTTTGCTCCTCAGGTGGCAGCTAATCACATTTTCAGATTCACGTGCCTGAAGCGGAACGCTGTCAGCCTACTCAGGGTTTGGGAAGATGAGGACGGCTCAAGACTCGGGCTGAATCCTTAGCGGGAAATCAAAATATGTGAATCCTTAGTATGCAGAAATTTGGTTACGTTCGCCCGCTGTTTGATGGTGCTGCCTGCATGAAACAATGGGCTGGTCTCGGCCAGGGTTCCTGAAGTGCAATGCAACTTGCCAACTAAGGCAGAAGCCAGTCCGTTCGTTTGGCAATCTCACGGAATGGTGGTACTCCAGCTGTCGCCCTTGAAAAAGCTTGTTTGCCTTCATGCCTGAGATTCTGAAGCCTGCTTAGTGGCCCATGTGGCCCATAAACAGGGCCACTGCGCTCCGTACCGCGGTGGTCTGGTGACTCAATCAGAACAGGAAACCATGTAAACTTCTTTAGTGCTGAGTGCTCAACCCATTCAGTCCTGATGTCAGTGAAGCTGGCAAGAATGAAGGCTTTTAGACTCTTTGCCATGCCTGAATTGCGCGGAGTGCACGCTCTAGCTTTTAGGATCCTGACAGACGGCGGCACGCTGCTGTGGCAGAAGTACTTGGAGAGGAAGGCGCAACTGCAGAGTGAGGATAGGTAGCCATTCCTGTCTACATAACTATCTGGTGTCTCCGTGCACTTACGAATCTCCTGAATTTGAGGCTTTCTCCTTTGCCTCAAATGCCATCTCGGATGCTCTGGTCAGCCGGCTCCGAATGCATGGAGCTCATGGGAGACTCAGGTTTTGAGATGAATTTCAGTAAAGTCTGCTTCGAACTGCGCAGGATGACGTACTAGTAGTAGTTCTGTATTTTTATTGTCATAGGGTTCTGCTTGCGAGCTGACACAGGCGAAGGAGCACCGTGATGAGCATAATCAACCTTTGTTTGAAGGTGTTTATTTACCATATTGACCTTCTACAGTTGCAGCATGTGCTGCTTGCAGGACTCGCGGCAAAGTACTTCAACATAGATCAAAGATAAGAAAGCCAACAAAGTTTGGGAGCAAGGCCTTCGCATCCAAGCTTCAAATGAGTAGCCAGAAGATCTACTACTGCAACTTCTATCGGCCAGAGGGCAGCGTTTTTGGTTGTTGCCCCAAAGTCGGGTAGGGATCCACATCATCTCGGCTTAGTCTTTTCCGGCATATCGAACTTCCCGCTGTTGGGGAGCTTTCTGTCACTGCTTCCACACTTCAAGACTGTCAGGAGGTCTGCAAGGTGTTGAGGGGGTCTCTCAGTCGTCACTGTGTCACCTCTGGCGCCATGACGTGACAGAGTTAATTAATTCGATTTATATGCTGTATTATGGTAGCAGATCTCTGGCGTCCTGACGTTGACAGAGTTCATTCCGTCTACATGGTTATCTTGTCTTATTGTGCTGGTAGGTCATCATCGACGCAACCGGTGCATAAATACACTACGTGTAAATGCAAAGCTCTCTTGAACTTGATTTCTTCCCCTTTGTCTTGGTGTCTTTTTGCCAGGATTCGCCATTCTCGCGGCATTACCATTTTTAAGTCCCTCCACACCCCTGCCGGAAGTGTCATTCTGACTATAGTGACTAGATTACCCAGTCTTTCTGGCGTGTGCCTATCAGTTCTTTCGAAGCACGCTGAAGTTAGAACTTCGATCCCTATCATTCATCAACCGTCACACACACACACTCATTCTAAGCTGGGCGTTCCAAGTATGGGTTCTATGCTGACCGTTTGTTAACTGTCAGCTCATGAGTCAATAGTGTGTGTCCAACAGTGTGACCTGACTTGTCATATGAATCCAACTGGTTCTTGGTGGATGCCAGAGCTAGCCTACATCCATGCCCAGCATCCCTAGTGTTTCACAGACAATTGGACCATTTCCGGGCTGTTGCCGGTCTGCCCTGGCCATTTTCCCCACTCTATGTTAACTGTCAAGCCCAGCTGGTGAGGTGCTACGTGAGCCATGATGTGGGAGAGCCTGCTGTGGACGGGGCTCTCAGAGGCACACATGCCCGTCGAACAGAGATGTAAGGTTGCGTAGATGGCAGATGGCTCTGACATAGCAGCTGAAAGCCGCGGCCAAAGTCTCCTCCTCCGGGGCCCTCATGTCCGACCCCAATGTTGAAAATCAAGAATGTTCTGCCGACAGGCCCTGAATGGAACATAGAAGAGGCCAGGGGCTGACGCGAGGTTGAGTGCTTTAGGCCTCGCGACATACTCACCTTTGAAGCTGTAGTCTAATGCAAGTTTTGCTTTGTGCACAGATTGCAACGCACCAGGTTGCGGAGATATGTTCAAGTAAGTTTCTTTATTAATTTTCTTAAAATGTCCACCATGCTTGAGGAACCGCAGCCTTGCGAGATCGACAGCTGGGCGTCCCTTGGCATCTATGCGAAGTGAATTTGCAGAAAGTGCAAGAGGTGCTCGTACGATGCACAGGACTTCGTGGATCTGAGTTTGGGGAGTCAAGACATTGCATGTTGATTGTGCATGCCTGTGTATGGGGTGGATGTGATGAGAGCATGCTGGAGGCCTGCTCTCACAGTGTGTAAGGATTAGATGGCCGCAGTCCAAGGCGGATGCATCTGCCAGTGCGACGCAGCGGAAAAGCTGACGAGGACAAATGCTGTGGTGTCAAGGCAATGTCAGGTGCTAGTGTGATCCACCATCGCTACCTCCAGGGAGGGGAGGGGACTGGGTAGAGTCTTTGCCCCAACCGCCTGTCACCTGAGAGACGAAGGACTGCGCCAGCTTCAAGCCAGCGGTACAAAAAGATTCCCACAAGAAAGTCTCACAAGCATGGAACAGGCCTCAACATCAGGGGCGAAGATGCCGGGCAAGCCCCGACGAGGCCATTTTCTTAGCCTAGAGAGTACTACTGGTGCCCTAGAGACCACCGCTTCAGGTCGCATGCTGTGGATGGGCAAACAAGCGAGTGAAAGCAAATCAGAGCTCGCGCCAGGCCAGCTTGCAAGCTCCTCCCGGCCCAAGGCGAGCTGTGCAAGCTGTGCAAGCTGCAGCTTTTAATGCACTTTCAGTGGCTCTGTTGGGGTGCTACCTGACTAAGGGATGCTTTGCATGCCGCAGGCCACCAGTGGACTATCTTCTGTGAAAGAGCCACTGGGCAATGAACTTCAACTCGCTTAGTCCATGCTGCGCCTTATCAGCATTGACGTAGGAAGCCAGATCTAACCAAGGAAGCCGGCAGACCAGCCGCCCAGGAGCGGAGAGGGAACATGGCCAAGACTTGGTTCCGCTGTGCCCCACGGCCTGGATCACACACCACGCTTGTGGGAAGGATCTTCATGCTGGAGAGCGAGCATACCGTTGATCCTGAAGAGGAGAGGATGCGAGAGGCTGGCCACCACTGAGTGACAAGTACTCGCACGCTCCTGCAGTGGCACAGGCAAAAGCTCAAGAGGAGGCAAGGAAACGGGACAAGGAAAGGCTTGCCAAGGCTGGGTGCGTTTGAATCTGCTGGCACTTGTGCTGATCATAAAATGAGCTGGTTTGGCACAAGCATTTTGCGACATCCAAACCGCCAAAATTTCAGGTAACGGTCTTAAGCACATGGAATGGGACCGTTAGGACAGCTTCCCCAGCCGTGGACCATTTGTTTACCTCAGAGTCTGCAGAAGAAGTCACAAGTGGGTGAATGCAAGTTCACAATCGTGCTGCTCTGTGACCCACGGATGACCCACTGATGCAGGAGTCAGAGAAGACTCAGGAGGAAGAAAGGCGAAAGGCCTCTTGACTCTGTTTGGGAAGTGTGCCGAAACCGAGCAGAACACCAAATCCGGCAGACTTTTGCTTATGTGATCTTATGTGCCCTCTGTCTGAAGTGCTTCAGTTCACGCCATTGGCGCAACCCAGAACATGGCCAGGTGCAGCAACTCCATGAGGAGATGTCCAAGCGGCCACACACGTTCGACACAGAGGTCTTTGCTCCAGCAATCAATGAATCCCGAGACTGCCCTTGACGTGTCGGGAGTTCTCCCAGAAACATCTGTGCCCAGGGTAACCTTATTTGGGTCGACGAGTTGAAGCCAGAGCGCCTTCCAAAGTGGCGGGCTCAAGGGTAAGGCCACAAAAGCAAAGATTCGCGTGACGTCTTGAGGGCGCTGTCACTGGCAACAGGAAAAGAGCAGTCTGATGGGTAGTTAGCTCAACGTTGCGCATCACAAGGCTTGTTGAGGCTTTCGGCTATTCCGTCAAGCGAGAGCCGAAGAGTCTACGAGCAACTTGACCTGGCAGTTTTAAATTATGTAGCATCAGAAGGATCACAGAGAGGTTTTGAAGGTAGAGTTTGTGTTCTTTCTCCCGCAGAGCTTGTGTACGAGAGGGTATGGAGTTTAGGAGTGTTTTGGTGAGCACTGTTTGGACCATCTCTCGTTGAACGCTTTTCCGGCCTCACCTTTCAAGATGCTGCTGAACAATCTGCACGTGAAGCAGAGTCTTAGTGGCCATGGCCGTCAGGGTGCAATTTCACGACCCAATGCAACTTGAAACAGCAGCAGCTATACGGACATTTACGGACATGTGATATGCGCCACACTGCACGCTAGGATTCCAACAAGCAGAGGTCTTCTGAAGAGTTCACGAAAGCATGATGCACATGCGTGTCCACAATATTGTTTCCTGCCACTTCCGTCATTTGTTTGATCATTGTTTCGTTGAATTAGGGCTGTAGTGTAGTCATGCATATTGCCTTGTCTAATGCCAACTACTGTAAGTCCTGGGGCCAAGGATGATAAAGCAGCGCTGGGCTGGGGCCTTGGCGTGTGCAGGTGACTGGAGGGGTATTCGATATTCAGTGAGGGCTGAGATTGGTTATTCCCTAGTTTCTAACGCATCATCAGCAGCAGTAATCATCCAGTGGCACTGCTCAGGAAGCTTGCCCTGCCTTCTGGATCGCACAGAACTCTTGTCAAGTGTGTTTCCATTTGTCGCTTTTACGCTTCCTGAGGCTTGTGACACAGGCTGAGCCAAGATAGCCAAGAATTATCATTCCAGACGTTCCATGATGGTAACTTCTAATACAAGCTCCGAAGCTCGCTGAATTCTGGAGAAGGAATTCATTTTATTTGTAGTTTGTGTGAAATTCAGTTTGTGACGGAAGAGATACGACTGGAGATGATCAAAGTCCTCCGTCCTCCGCCCTCCGCTTTTGAGGGACGACGATGGCCGCCCCCAAGGCGAAGCAAAGGCCAAGAAGGCCGGGAAAAGCTTCTTACTTCTTAGTAGCACAAATTGAGTTAACCTTCTTGTGCAGTGCACTTCTTCTGTTCGAAACATGCAAAGCAAAACATGTTGTCAATCAAATTGTTTTGTTGTTGATGTACCACTCTCTCTGGTGGCATCCTGAACAGATTGTGGCAAGTTTAAGTGTGGCTCCTGGAGCTGCGTTGCCTTCACATTCATTGTCTTGTCCGAAGGCTGTTGGATTAGGCATCCTTGAGGATGCATCCTTTTGAAGGGGTCAGCAAATTTCTGCCCGAGGCAGCCTGCTGTCACGGAAGACAGTGCAACAAAGTGTGACATGTTCAACCAGAGCTGCTGAAGTCAGACAGCAGTGGAAGGCATCGTGGAGGCGGTCGTGGCTCAAAAAAGACAGACGTGCGCGGCTCAACTCAGGAACCGAAGTAGCTCTGAATGTTTTGGTGGATTGAAGAGAGCTTTGTGTTTTTCTCGGATGCTGTGCCTGGAAACGCTTTTGGACTCTGTCTTAGAAATGTGTTCTCAGTATTCGGGTGTGCCCATGGAATTCTATCGCAAAGCCGAGCCTTCATCCGCCCATACAAAAGTTCACATTCCCCACTGGCAACCAGCAAGTTGTTGTGGGAAGGTGGTGCGCAATGAGTTATGCTAGCTTTGCTAGGCATCGCCTGAGTTCACAGACGGCTTCTCCAAGCTGCAGCATGGGCAGCCTCCGATCCTCGAGACAATGGTGCCCTTTTCGCATTGAGCTTTGTCCCCGGGGAGCGAGTCTGCTCTTGGCGGCTCCAATAACTCGTGGGAATGGACCTCAAAGAAAGAGTGCTGATTGGGCTCTGTCAGTGTCCAATTGCTGGAATCGGGCAGCTTGTGAAGAGTTGCAGCCTGCAGTGTGCTTGCAGGTGGTGGTGCCCGGTGTCACTTTGGAACAGCTGGGTAAGGTCAAGGCGCTACTGTAGGGTGGGCTGCGTTTCTCGGTCAAGCACTTATTGTTCAGCATGTGCAGCATGGCCGCAACCAACACTCTTAAGACATGAGCAGCCGCACTGGCTTTCTTAAAGAGCAGAAGAGCAGCCTGGTCAATATTTTTAAGGACCAGCATTCATGCGATAACGAGAGGGGCTGCGGATTAGACGAGAGAGGTCATATTTTGGGATGCATGTTCCAGCATGATGAACGAACTCACCTGCTTTTGCCGACATCAGCCCCAACATCCAATCAATAGTTATGAGGCAAGCGAGATGACGCGAATTCAAAACGCCACGTACGGGCTAGGCTATAAACACAAGTCGTCGCTCACAGATGCATCAGTGTCATTTGTTTCCTTTCAGGAGTCCACAATCAATTAGTCTTCCCCAGGCCTCATTTCCCATCATTTCCCCACTTGCCAACAGAGCGGGCCGGACGACGAGAAGCGCTTCCTCTCACGACGAGAGTATGTCCAGCTCGCCGAGCAGGAGGTGGGATGTGGGGGTGTGGGGTGACGCTAGACTCTTCTGAGGAGCATCATTTGTGTTTTTGTGATTTTGCCGCGTACAACCAGAGAGGTTCATTTTCAGCTTTAAGAGAGCACTTCATATTCGCTCCACCCTATTTCGAGCCCAGCAGGCACCCGAAAGGGTTTGGTCCCAAAAAGACGATTTCCGGCAGAGGCTCAAGCCCACTTAAGAAGGACACGTTCACGGAAAGCTCTCACTTCATAAACTGGTTGAGCTGGATCAGCAGACTTGTAGGGATCTCGCTTGCCTGATCGTTCCATATGCAATGTTGATAGGTGGCCCTCGACAGCAGCTTCCATGGCAGAGGCCCGGGAGCAGACGGGTGCTGGTGCTTTGCTGCTTGGACTGGGGTCTGGCTCTCTCCCTGGACCTCAGTTTTGAAAGCCTCCTAGCGGCACGTTCTGTTTGTAATCTTGCGAAGAAGAATCTCGCAGGCGGCAGCACATCGCAGGATGGAAGCGTAACAAGCTTGGACAGTTCGGTCGCAGTCATAAGTGAGTGTCGCAAGCCGGCAGGCAATGACATGAACTATAGTCTAAACTCCTAGCATCCCCCTTAATAAACACCATAATACTCCCCTATATAAGCCCCTATACGGGTGGTTGTCAAAATTATGGTCCCTTTTTGGATCCCTATTATAATACGGCACCTAATATTTAGGGTACCCGAAAAGGGACCATAATTTTGACAACCACCCATATAATTCCCTTTAAGGAGTTTAGACTATAGCTCGCATTTGTTTTCTCATTGTTGCAAGCATTAATCCAACATTTTCACGCCACCTCCTAGGCCTCTCCTCCCATGCCCTCATCGACTGCCGCGCGCTTAGACCTCCTGGCTAGGCTCAATCTTTCTTATGCCGGGCAGAGGAAACATAGGGCATCCTGCTCACTGCTCAGGCGCAGCCTGCTGGTGATGAGGTGCTTCAAAATGCAGCATCAAGCGGCTTCGAAGAGGGCACATGCGCAATGACTGTAAGACATGTTCACGTTCCTGCCCAAGTCTTGCAGTGTTCGACGGAGCCAGTAGCAGATGCATCTCATCAGGAAAGAACTCGAACATTAGAAAGCCACTGTGAACCTCGATTTCCAAAGGTTCATATGAGCTCATTTCGTCATGTTGTGCCTTGTGTTGCACTTGACGCTAGGCAGCGCCTGGAGGAGGACCTGGCGGTCTCCCACAGATACCACAAGGATGGGACTGCAGAGGGTTCGTGCAGGTCCGTGCTTGTCCGGTTTTTTGAATCGCCTTGGCACCCCCGAAGTTTTCCTTGCAAATCTGCGGGCTTTGCTTTATGCGCCTTCACGAATGTAATCGGTCTGTGTCGGCCCTCTTGCATGGAAGGGCAAGTGTGATTTTCCATCCACAGCTGGGCAAGCCTTGTTTGGCGCATCCTGAACCCTGTCAGTCAAAAAGCGCAGACCATGCCCTAAAGGCTCCAATGACCCAAAGAGCATTGGCATGTGTGCTTTTCAGGCCGGGGACCAGCCATGGTAGCTTACCCAGGCCGCATGATCAGTTTTTTTTTTGTCTTCATTTCAGAAGAAGGAGGGGATGGACAGCCCATATTAGCGGAAAGTGAGCTCGGCAGATGACAAGAATGGCTTAGGGTCTGCCTTGAAGCCCAAGCCATCAATCAGAACTCGATGGAGTGCTGAACGCTGGGAGGCACCGCTCCTGGAGGCGACGGTGAGCCTCGGCCCTGGGACTGAAAAGAAGGAGTATGCAAGACGACTAGCGCACAATGAGTTCTAGCACTTAGAAGTCAACAACCCACATTTGTCGGTAGCCTCACGAGCCTCCGAAAGGTCAGCGACACAGTTGGTTGGATGAGATTTAACGACAAACCACTATAGAAACGTGTCTGCGCAGTTCACCATTACACTATTTCACATCATAGTTTGCTCCCACTGATGACCGGGGTAGGCTTAGCCCGATTTGCACGGTTGAGATTAGGAATTTGCTCAGCAATCTTTAAGCACGTGACCGCTACGGTCATTGTGAACAAAATCTTAACCAGCAGCAAGGCCACCAAGAGATCAAACCCCTATACCGAATCACCTCAGGTGACGTAAGCCTGAAGCTGTAGGGCATTCAGTGTCACGATGCTTCAATACATGTAGAAAACCGTCGCTGAATCTGCGCGCAACAACCCCCACGAACGCGGTCCTACTCAGGAACGAGACCTGGAATCCAAAAAAATATGCAGGCATTCAAACATCATAACAACCAACTGTTCTACCCCAGCGCCATCTGTCTTGGCACACAAGCTCAGTAAGAAAGTTTATGACAACATCACCAATACAACATCCTTTGATCTTAAAACTGGGGACAGGCTGAGGTAGCAAGCGTGGGGACTTGATCCCAATGCACATAAGCAAAGCTTAGAGAAGGCTGACTTCCCTTCCTGGGCACTGACCCCGACAGAGACCTTGAATGACTGCCTTGCAAACTTGTCTTCCGCATCCCCAACTCAGTGTGTGCGGGAGAACGCTCGAGCTGTCTTGTGGCGCCTCCCTGAACCTGCGCCAGTTCTTGGCCCAGGGCCCGCCTTGCTGCACCTCAGTCGGCCACACTCCCTTTGTTGGCCTCCGCTTGGGTCCGTCAAGCTCTGCGCCTGTCTGCCTGCCCCGTACCACCGCTCAGCAAGGATGCGGCTACGCGGCGCTTACATAGCTGGGCGTGCCGTTGGCG